ACCCGCGCAATTAGTGCCTAGGTATCCAAGCAGAGCAAAGGTTGACATATGTGTTTGCAAATTATGTGCACACGTTCCTCCCAAGTGCCTTGTGATTGGCTTCCTAGGCAAGGATTACACAACGAGGATCCTGAGCAACCTTTTGCGGTGTCCAGCCATCACTAGTCTGCCTGCCGCCGAACAATTCTGCATGAATTTTTCCAAGGCTCTCTTTGTGTTTCTCTAAGTGTTTAGTTCTTCTCAGTTTCCTGCTAATCTCATGCCATTTGATAATTTGATCCTAGAGCGTATACAGATGGTCAAAAGGGCTTAGTGGTTTGTTTCGAGGAAGCAATCTGATTGTCAAAGCCATTGTTCAGTTGGCCCAGGTCATCTTTAATGTTCTATTGAGCTGACATGTCGACATCCCCTGCTGCATCGGTAGCTGGAAGGGGCTTCTAAGACCATATCCAACAATCCGCTGGATCTTCTGGGTTACTAAGCATTCAGGTTTTCTAAAGATTTGAATCAACTATATTTATATTATATGATATATATATATATCTGAATCTATATCTATATATATATATATAAATACATAAATAAATAAATGAATACAAACGTAAATATAATACACCAATATTTATGAAATTATATATATATATATATCCATATATATTTATATAATCAAATATATATATATATATATATTCATATATATATATACATATATATTTTTTGATATATATATATGCATATATATACATATTCATATATATATATATTTATATTTATATTTATATATATATATATATATGAATATATATATATATTTATATTTATATTCATATATATATATACATACATATATAGATATATATATTCATATACATATATATATATATATTTCTCTATATATTCGTATGTATATATAAATATATATTTTTAGATAGATAGATGAATATATATATATATATATAATATAATATATATAATATATATAATATATATAGATATGTGTGTGTGTGTGTTTGTGTAAAGTTGGCCTGTGTGGCAGCACCCAATGCACCATCATTAGCACCATCATTTTCCCTTATTGAAATTGGCTTCTGGGTTTATCTACCATCATTGCTTCCCTGCAGATGCCAAAGAAAATATGACCCAGAGATAGACAAAGCTGAGTATCACCCCAACCGAACTAATTTTATATAATATATTATAATTATATATATATATAATTCTATTATGGGATTGCCAACCCTTCAAGAGCATATAAGCCTATCAGCTCTTGAGATCCTTTGTCAAAATCCCACAGGTGTACCATCCTCCTGGGGTCATGTTTGTGGTATGCGCCATTCATGCAGGCTTGGCAAGTACTTCTTGAAGTTGGCAAAGAATGCAAATGGCGATATGGGTCTTGCGGAATCCTGTATTTCATTTTTCAAGACCACAGGAGGTGTGGGGACAAGAAGGGCTTTTCTCCCACCGAAGACAGCTGCTCTGAGAAATGTTCAGAAAGGTGGTCGTTCCAAGTCCAAAGGTCCACAGTCCAAGAAGCTTGCACCTTGCCTGTTTGGGAACGTCCAACACTGCTTTTGTACCAGTAGTACTGCTCAAGGATGCGGCAGAAGTTTCCCAAAATAGGAAACTTATAGGAGCTGTTGGTTGTTGTGAAGCACTGATGGCAAAGTGAATCCACTGATGGACCGAAAGATGGTTGGAATGTCGAATTTTCCATCTGTCTATCTATCTATTATCTATCTATCCATCCATCCATCTATCTATCCTTCTTTTCTGTCTACCCCATCCATCTCTGTCTATGCAACCGTCCATCTGTCATCCTGTTTACGTCTATGTGTCCATCTGTCTATCTTGCTCTCTACTTCTCTCTTTCGAGATCTGTCCATTTCCTTGTCTCTCTATCTGTCTGTCCTCTTGTGGTCTATGCATCTATCTAGCTGTCTATCTACCTCATCCAGCTTTCCATTCTATCAGCTTAAGTGCCAAAGCATTTCGCCCATCCATCTATCTAGGTCTTCATTTTTGCATCTGGACAGTTCAACAACAAGCAAGCAGGTAACATTTGCACAGACAAGATACAGAACAAACAGACCTTTGGTTTCAATTGTGGTGCAACACCCATACCTAGACCACACTCATGTTAACTGACATGTCTGTCCCCTGTAGATCACCGGTTACACCAACAAGTCCAAAACATAGGCTCCCCATACTTTTGCTTGCAAATTCCTTTGACATGTGGAAAGTAATTGAGACATAGTCAAAAATGAAAAGCCAGCTACACCTGCCAAATTGCCAAAAATTCTATGAAGATTCTTCAAAATTTGAACTTGACAGTGTCAAAACGCAATTATTCTGTGAGACTTCCTCAAGGTTTGAATGTGGCAACGTCAAAAACAAAGCAGTTCTGCATGACGTCCTGCCATTTTGAATGCGGCAACGGCCAAAAAAAATTTCATGCTGCGAGACTTCCTCAATTTTCGAAGTTGACAACAACAAAAATGAAGCAATTCTGCTAAACTTCCTTCAAATATGGATAATTGAGTGCAGAGCTGATAGCCTTGTGCCAATGCGTTTTGCAATTTTTCTGGTCTATGTATCTAAAGTATTGTGCCTGCTTAGATATTCTATATTTTGTGGGCAGTGATGTTGACAGTGCTGCTAGACTTCTCCAACTTGATCCTTCAATGACTAGTTCTGACCCTTGGGAATGTGCTGTCCTGGAATTCACGCTTGCAAGGGTAAAATGTAGGCATTGAAAGGTGCCAGCCCAGTCTGGCCCCCAATGTCAGATGTCCAGCCGCTTCCATGACTGGGCGCCCCTTCTACTGCCATTTGAAGGCTGGTGGGATGCATGGCTGTTAGCCGTGCTGTGTATAAGTAACTTGATTGATTATATAATATCAGATTGCAGCATTGATGGCTTCAATGAAACTCTTGCATCGGTTTCTGGCAGCCACTGATCTCTTTCTTGTGTCTCCCTATGGCTCAAGCGCTCTCCCTTGCAAGTGGTTCCAGGTCTACGCTCCACGGTCCCTCGTCCATGGCTCGTTGGCTCAAAGGTGTGCCAACAAGAAGGCTCTGGAAGAAAAACCAAAGTACCTGAAAAATCACAAAGAAAAAGATCTGGACCAGTGAGCAAGGTTGCGCAGGCAGGCCTAGTGATTCCAAAGGCGCGAAGAGCTTTTGCCCTCTTTTTGAAGGAGAGGTCTTGTGTCAAGCCAGGAGCTTCCAAGTTGGAGTTTGCAGCTGAAATGAAAAAACTTGGAAAAGTTTGGTCTTCCCTCGGGGATGCAGAAAAAGCACCATACCAAGACCAAAGCAATGCCGAGTTTCTGGCCCGACGCACTGCTTTGTTGCAGATGGGGGTCCCCTTGCGACGCATCACTTAAACAGCTGCAGAGCAAAAGGAGAGCCATCCGCAGCTGCATGATCCTGAGCCCGCTGCTGGTGCCATGGTGAAGCTCGGGGTGCAGTATGAGATCAAAACCATTCTGGGTGAAGGCACATATGGAAAAGTGTTTGCCGGCAGATGCCGGTATGGTAGCCCTTGTGCCCTGAAGGTATTCAGTGGCCTCCATGCCCGGGTGGAATGCCAGCAAGAGGTTCAGAGCTACCAGTTCTTAGATGAGAAGCTGAATGTGAAGGAGCGCAGGTTCTCTCCTATGCTGCTTGATGCCGATCATTGTGGCGAACCAAGGCCTTGGATGGTATTGGCACTTGGTCGGCCAAGCTTGACGAATCGGTTGGGATCAGGAAAATTGAGCCCTGACATGGTGAGCATTGTTGCCAATCAGCTGCAAAGTGCTTTGCGTATCCTTCATCAACAGGCTTCATTTCTACATCTCGATGTCAAACCGTCCAACTGCCTGTGGCTGGAAGAGATTCAGCTCCTTCAGCTTTGCGACCTCGGCATGGCGGAGGTTCAGATGTCTGTGTCTGCCCAGCATCAAGCTTTGGGCCTGAAGGGCCATCATGGAAAAGTGGTTGAGCAGCCCAGATTACAGGCATACGTGACAGCCTTGTACAGGCCACCTGAATTGTTCAACCTCCAGAATGCCCAGCTGTGCACATTGCAGAAGCTGCTTTCTCCTGCTGTCGACATGTGGAGCTACGGCTGTGTCGTTTATGAGGC